GAGTGTTCCATTTGAAAAATCAAAGTTGCTACTGCTTTCTAATAGTAGCGGCAACACCGCATTGTCGAAAATATTTTAGTTGGCTAGAGAATGTCCGAATATGCCCTCTATTAAATTTTCAAAGTAATCCGTTGTCTGGTTCACCAGAAACGTCTAATGTGCCATCCACCGTGAATCAGCCTGTATATATCTGAATTTTACGGTCCGATGTTTATATATATTGAATGTATATTTACATGTTTGTTTGTTTATATATTTATAAGTATAAGTTGACATGTTCGATACCATGTAGTTGGTCCACGAATGAATAAATGTCTTTCTTTCTTTCTATTCGAGAGGTACCATCGACAGCCACTTGCAAGGAACGTTCCTTCAGGAAGCTAGACAGCCATTCACAAGCCATAGCATCGAAGTTTGGCCAGCAAACCCTCTTGCCACACATGGTCGAAGGCCTAAGAAATATTAATGGCAACAGCTCCTGATTCTTCATGGCTCTATATTGCGTTATTCCAAATATGAGTGACATACGATAGAAGGTCGCCTGTTGATCTTCGCTTCTGAAAACTATATCGATGACCGACCAAGATATTGAAGCCTTTTAAATATTCAAGGATATGGTGGTTCACGGCTTTCTCCACGATTTTTGATATCGCTGATAGTGAAGTGACTGGTCTACAGTTATTTGCTCCACGAATTGTTCGATATTCAGTCAGCGATAATTGTTTTTTTGGAGAAGCACGTGAGCTGGGAGATACCTCATTCAATATTGTCCACACCAACGATGTTGAAATCATTGATTCTGCTCATCAATCGGTGTGTAAAAAGATTATACCTAGTCTCTTGATTGGAACCAAATTTATTGATATGAATTAATCAAACACAATTATCTAGTTCATATATTTTTCATGCAGTTTTGGGTTTCCCATGATTTAAAATGTCTTTCGGGATATCATTATATTATTGGCATCTACCTAACAAAACCTAACCTCCAATATAGAAATTGGAAAATTCCATATGCATAATTAATAAAATATAAAGTTTGAATTTACTCAGATGTCTATCGACTCTTTAGCTTTAGCATAAATATATACTTCCAAAATAGATTACTAACCTTCAACTAGTGTATCAAATAATTGATACTGGATTCTTCACTTGTTTTTCCATAGCAATGTCGATGCATGTAAGCAAGAAATATACCGAACGAATATTACCGAACGTTTTTCTTTTCAAGTCGAAATAAGTCATCTTGCTTGACTATTTTGAAACTCTGATTTTGACCCAATTTCACTATTTTCCAATCAGTCAGTGAATTTTTCCTTGATCAACCTTTTCTAAGGTAGCATAGCAACTGACTCAACTGAAGATCTTAAAGGTATGGGATACATTTGCTATGTGTTACTAATTTTTTGTCTTTCTCAATGTATCTTCGAATCTTTGATGGAAAGTTGTAGGTTGATGCTCTTCATACAGATTTTAAAAAAAATTTATTGAATTGTTTGTTTTTTATTCTTCTTAGGATCAACAGACTTCGTTTTTTTTAACTCAACAAATTAATGTTTCGATAGCAAATAGCATACTGGATGTGAAATCTTCAAATCTTCCTTATATAGCTGATTAACGGAAAAACAGATTTTAAACAGATTTTAAACAGATATCCAAAGCTCCGTGGTACCGCAGGGTTCAAATTAGGACTTTTTTTGCTGTTACTTCTAACTAACATGGTTCAAGATTGCTAGAAAAATGATAAAACATTATTCCAACTGCTTGAACTCAGGAAATAAACTTATTCATTTGAATGATGTTCCCATTGAATTGATAGAATTTATATTATTGATTGAGAAGATGTCCTGTTTTTCTCTGCAAAGGACAGTATCAAAAATTTTTTTTACGAAATTAATTTCAATGCGATTAGACTAGTAATAAAATGGAAGACTCTGGCAACAATTTTGATTAGAAATTAACTTTTTCCTCATACCTATACAGTTTGAGCTATGTCATTTATAAATATAAGTGTAATGAATGAAGTGAATGAATGAAGAAAAATTATTCTGTAGCTGAACAAAAACATACTTGAAATTCTTATCCATTCGTCTTATAGACAGTACTGAATATTCTATTCTTTTAAAGTAGTTTGAGGTATTATCATCAAATACATGTTAACTCTCCACTACTGTTATATTTTGCTACAATTCAATTATAAATTTCTCCTATGAAATTTCAATTGATAATTGATTACCCACCTTTTCAGAACGTCAATCACGTTATTCAGTTGTTTCTGAGGTAATTAATTTAAAATTCGTGATCAAGGTATATCTCTAATAAAAAACCAATTGATAACCTATTTTGATTCAACTGGAAAGGCACCCATGTCATGAATTTCAAATAGTACCCTGTATATTTTCAGTCCATTTTATGGAATTGAAAAAAAATCTCTTCAAACATTCAACAAAATTATTTTCAAAATGACGGCGTAGAACTCATGAAGTTCTCAGTTCTTGAATGAAAATTCAAGAATTGAAATTTTCAACCAATTCTGGTACTCTTTATTGATTTTTTAATGTAATATTTCACCTCATTTCTCCTAAAAATTTCAATAGAAAGTAGAATTTTTCAAATTTCAACAGAAACAGAAAAAAATGTCAAATACTACAGTGTGTCTCACTTCTCATGGAAACACCCCCGTATCTTCCGTAATATTCGAGGTGGAACGATGAAACTCTCAGGACTGATGAAAATGCTCAAAATGCACCTACCAC